TCTATTTTTGCTGCTCTTTGAAAAGGACGAAATTTCTTCCTTTCCTTGTAGCTCATCACTTTGCTCCAGGCAGTGGGATGCACTTTCTCCTTTCACTTACGTTGCTTTGTATCATAACAGTTAAAAATGCATGGGTGTATACCGTACACTGGGTGAAAGAATCCCAAATCCCACCTATTGGATATGAAACACTCTTTAAAACCACACTATCCTTTCACCTGCATGTATGAATGGCAGCAATCAGGAACCTACTGAGATGGAGGCTGTGGGGAGGCAGAGCCCAGGTGCGTGCAGGGCTGGGAAGGCACAGCATCAATGTACTACATTATTTATCTATCATGGAGAGTCTTGCTAACAGGGCTGCCAAGTTTGAAAAACATACAGCCATTCCTCTCCAGAGAGAAAACTAGGAGGAAAGCTCCTTTTATCCTCCATAAACTTGGCCCAGCTAATGAAGTTGTTGACCCCTCATCCCCCAAAACCCATTTATCAGTGGAGGTTAGCAGAGACTTGTGCCTGCTGAAAGGCAAAGCCTTTGCTGCAACTAGGGCACAAAGCCTCCAAAGCACAGACTTTTTGCATTGAGCTTTCCTGCCATAGGGACCTAAATTCCGCACGAGATGCCTTTGGGGGAAGTGGGAGAAGACAGTATGAAAACAGCTTCATTATAACCATACTGTACCCATGGAGCATCAAGCTGCTGGAAATAACCTTTCTGAACTCGTAACAGTACATACACTTGACTGTAAGCAGCAATGGAAGATACTGGGTCATCTGTATGTGTTCAGAGAAACATAGCATTGCTTTTCTGCACCAGAACTCTATGTTTAATGTGCTGTCCTGCCAGTGTGAGTGAGGTACGTACGGCACCGAGGGAAGCCATAAATATTCAATGCTTTAAGACCAAAAAGAAAGAAAAAAGGAAAAGACAGCTGTAGGCTCTCACTATATTCATTCTTGTCACCAGGACGCAACAATTTGCCCATTAAACAAAAGTGGATGCTGCTTTTCTTTGGGCATAAGATTACTTTTATGGGACTTGGGATTCAGGCCTCATCCATAAAGTGGCCATGCACACCAGCTGGGAGGCCATGCAGCTCTGCTCCTGCATTTCTGTTGTTGCTTTGGGTTTAGGCAGCACTGTCAAAAAGCAAGCGTTTGCTTCCAGCACATAATAACTGCTCTGGGTTTACCAATATATATATATTTTATTATCGAGGTTTTAGTTTGGGTTTTTACATGTGTACAGAGTATTTAAGGAGTAGAAACATAAGAAAAAAGTGAGGGAGGGGGGAAATCAAAAAGACAGCAAATAGTTAGGAAGCTGAGTTGTTTTGTTGGCATTGTGCTGGAGGAGACTATCACCATCTGGAGTACCAAATACAACAAACAGTAACCACCTGTTAAGAGCTATTCTGGTGTGGAAGGGGAAGATTTCCAAGTTCTGGCTATGCTGAATAGCCTCAATATTTCAGCGTTAATCAGACCATCTCCCCTGAACTGGGAAAACATGCCACCAGCTGTATGACCCCACACATCCCCAAGACATGCTGCCCCACTGAGTGCTCATACAGCCCCGGCTCAATGCCCAGCAGCAAAAGCTGACTGCAGAGTGAGGGCTTCCCCATCCTGGGCCCACAGCCCCACTTGCTTTTGCTGGTATCCCTGCCCAGGATGCCCACTGATAATGTGGCTGCTGCCTTCTCTGGCAGCATTAATCACTCCTTTCAGCTTTGTGCTGCAGGATGTTCTCAGCTCTGTTATCAGAGAACCTGTGCCGACATGATGCTTAGAGAATGTTCATGAGCTCAGACTATTTAAACCCTAAAATATTCATTGAACCAAATTTGCATAGAGTCTAGCTGAACGCCAGCAGGTAGCTAAAAATAAAGATCTTTTCAAACAGAAGGAGGAAATCAGAGTGAGACAGATGACCAAGACACTGCTCTTAGGCTCTCCTGAGACAGCTTTTAATAAGACGAGCTATCCTTTCATTCCTGTTGTGCAGGCAAGTCTGCAGGGTATTGTATTCTTTATGAACTGTCAAGATCAAGAGTGTGTGAGGGCAACAGGGACACAGGCAGGGACATAAGGACCCTCATCACTCAGATTTCAGGGAATTAAATGCAATCACTATGAGGAAAAGAGTAGCACCATAGTAAGCAATATTGCCTATGTGGTGTTTTACGAAGCTGTAATGAACACCCTAAACTTCTAGCCTACATAGTCTTGTAGTCTTTCTTGTCATGTCTTGTGTCTCCTTCAGAAATTTTGGGGAGATCTTTACAGTCTCACGTAGCTTTTCCCTTATGGCTCTTGCAGAAAATGAGCAGCACTGCCTTTCGGAGACTTAAGTGTCCTTAAGCAGTAAGAAACTTAGTGGTAGCCCAGCAAACTGGTGCATCATCCAGTAGCTATGGGGCAATCTGGCATCTGATATGAGATTACACAAAGAAAGTAATCTTGCTTATGTGCAGGTTAGGAGCCTGGGAAAAAGAGATTTGCTACTTGCAAAATGTCCCAGGATGATGGGACATTGCATGCAATGCTCAGTCTTGTACTTCTCCATTCCCCCCTCCAACTTGCAAGCAAGAATTTCAGAAGAAAGGATGACTTAAGCTATGCACCGTCATTGGAAATTCTCACTCCATACATGCCCAGCAACCAACATCTCCTTAAAGTGGTCCCATGTTTCCAACAGGGAAGGTCTGTAAATAAGTTCAATCGTTCTGCAGGACCAAGCATTGCTTTTTTCCTCTCCTCTGTTTTCCATGGAAAGTTGGATGCTTACTGCAGTCAAATGATGAAGCTTTAGTATTCTATCTCTAAAGATAAATTATTATTTTTTTACTTCTCCTTTTTTTTCTTTTAACAAATCTCTAAAAAAAAAAAAAGATCCCTCTGATATAGGGCTGTTTATCTACTTCAAACCATCTGGCAAAGTTGTGTGCCCCAATCATAGGTATGGATTTAATACCCTAATTGTTACTGCCTCTTCGTCAAGCCATCATTTGAACCACATGCTGTTCTCTTGCATCTCCCTGCCTCTGCTCAGCATTAAGAAATGCTTCAGTGGTTCGGCAGTTCTACGTCCCACTCTGACAGCATTTTAGGCTTCAAGGTCTTTAGCCAAGTTTCACGTGCTGCAGTCTGCACAAAAGACACCGCTGCATTGTCAGTCACATAACACATCTACTGAGTTACTTATCAACAAGCAGAAACCTTCACCATGCCAATAATCAACTATCTGACATAATAATCTGTTTCAAAGAGGAAAAAAATGAAAAAAACACCTCCATCTTGCTCCCTCCTTCCCCAAACCAAATGACAGTCTTAAAACATATTTGGCTTGATGTAATTAATGATATCTATTTCCCCTCTGTTTTGTGATTCAGCTGTTTCCAAATCTGTAAGAAGCACCAACAGTGAACCCTGTGGTGCCAGCTCAGTCTGGGGATAGAAATAATCAGCTTGAAAATAAACAGTGTTTTTTTGCAATCAAAGTGCTAATAGGCATGGTAACTGCAGGACAGTAGCTCTTGTGAGAAGGGATGGAAAAGGGGAAAAAAGCCCGTTTCCTGCTGAATCAGAAATACATGGGAAGGGGCTAGGTGAAAATGATCATTTGGATTGAAGAAAGCCAAAGATATTTAGTATGACACAGTCATCTCATAGCAAATCCACTAGTGATTTGTTCTTGCAGTTTCGGGCACGCTGCACTGATCACCTGCCTCCCATTTTATCATAGCAATATTTGCTACAGTGGATCTCACCCTCTGCAGGAGTTTAATCCCATCAAATCCTTGGAAAATCACTTTTTGGAGACTAACATGGTAGAAGAGCTTCAACTTTCTCCAAAACAGAGATACTTCAAGGCCTCAGAGCCTCAAATGGACTGTGGCAAAGCAGTTTGGCGATGGGATCTGAACAGTTGCGTGCATGAATCTACCACTTGCCTCCCAGTGCAGTCCCTGCTGGCACAGAAAATAAAACCACACAAGGAGGCAGTGAGTTAGAAGCCAGTGGGGCAGCAGTATCAAGAGCAAGGGCACAGCCGGTGGCTGTTTTGCTGTGATTCCCAAACTCCTGGTGGGAAAGGCCAAAATCTAGACCTGGCAGGAGGCACAGCCTGGTCAGAAATGAGATTTCCTTCCCAAGACATTTTGGCCTGAGTTGTTGGCTGCAGGAACACCTCAGGTGGCTCAGGACAGCCCTTGCAGAGACTCAGTTGCTCTGGAGGGACCTGAATCGGGGCTGGGCCACTGGGAAGTACAGTGGGGTTTCTAGCACAATGTTGCCCAGGCTGGCAATAGAACTTTTGGCGAAGGATAGCTCTGCATACATCTGGAGCAAGAAAATAAAAAGACAGCAAACAACAACTGAGGCCTAACGGGAACTTGTTTTACTCATTGACATGCTACCAGCGGTATTTAATCTCAGAAGAATCAAACTTAAAAAATAAAAAATAATTAAAAAAACATTACAATGATTAAAAAGACACATGAAATACTATGCTCAAATCATCTGCATGTCATTGTCTGGTTTATACAGTAGGCACAAAACAGACCTAGGATAACCTGCAAGAAACGTGGACCAGCTTTGTTCTCACCCAGATACAAGTGCTGCTAGCCTGATACTTCTACTTAGCTGTAGCTGGGTAATGTTTGTGCTTAAATTGCTCAGCCAGGCCTCCTCTCTTTGGCATTGCTCACCCATGCCCTAAAGGAGTTGGAAACTCGTACTGAAGACAGCAATGGAGAAAGGAACAACAGAGAAGAGCGATTAATTGTACAGTACATACATACAGTGTCTTCTAAATTGTGATCAGTTGTTTATTGGTTGGCAAACAAGCTTCACTTTTACAACAAATATTAGTAATGAGGTCATTCAGCTGCTGAGACCATACAAAATGATCATAAATTAAAAATAAAATGAAAAAAAAAAAAAAAAAAGAAAAAAGAAAAAAAAAGAAGAAATTATACTCCGTGCTGCTAATTTACCTCTGGAAAGCCTATGTTACTTGAAATCATGTCAAATAAATAAATTTCCTGTTAGGCAAAAGAATGAACAGAAGACTTTTTTTTTTTTTTCTTTAAAAATCACTGCAAAAGTACTTTTTAGATCACTACGCATCAATCAATTTTCTTCTTAACCACTGCATTACAAGTGCCTAAACGGGGACCGGACGGGGCCATGAAGGCCCTTAGCTCCTATGGGGAAATCGCCGTCTCATGCAGAAGCCCCGCTACGACTACAAAAACCTCTTGGCTTCTAGATGCGAACCTACGGCCTGGGTGAGGGGCTGCTTGCCAAAGATGCTTCACAGGATTCTTGTTACGATCGGTTGTGCACTGTAAACATAAAGTTTGCCCTGCTCTATTCTGCAAAAAGTCTGCCAGCCATATGGCGGCTTGAGAAAGATACACGATGAGGAAAGAAAAGACTCTCTTGGTTGGAAAGAAACTGCCATCGCGTTCCTAAAAATGGTCCTTAGAAAGTGGTGTTCGTTTTTCTGCCCAGTGAGACTTTTTACCAGGATGGGAGGGATGGAGGGGAGAGGCAAAAGGAAAGAAAAGAAAAACAGGAGTTATGAAAAACCTTGCTCCTACTGGTAGACAAACTTACAAGACCAGCACAACAGAAAAAGTTCTTATTTTTTTTCCACTACATTAACAGGGACGCAAGTTCTGGAGGAACAGAAAGCAGACTATATGTGCAATGCTAGTATCTGTACATTACATAGAAATTGTTTGATTCTCTTTTTCTGCCATTAGTTTTGATCGTCAGTTAATACAGCAAAACATAAAATATGCCTTTAGCATATAATTCTAGGATTCCCTTCCGTATCATTAATTTTTGTTTCGGTTGCTCCTGCAGCGAAGGGCGCTGCGATCAAACCGAGTTGTGAGTGACCAAACCCCGCTGCATGATCCGGATTTGTAACAGACAGTTTGCTAGCTTGTTTGTTTTGTGCAGCACTCCCACCTAGATGCGTCATCGCTACTAGTTTCAAATGCACATTTTTGGCCTTTTTTTTTTTCTTTGCATTTTTTTTTCTTTCTTAAATCAGGTCCTCAGTATTAAGAGCAACACAGCATCAAGGATCGTTTAAACAAATACAGCATAACTTGAGAAGGCCACGAAGTGTGCCGTTATCTGTCCTATCTCTTTCATTAACATAATGAAGTCTGTCTGAAGGGAGGGAGGATGGGGAGGAACTGGGGGGAGGGAAGGGGCAGCAGTTCCTGTTCTCTCCGGGCTGGCCTAAAAATTCCAGTAAAAAAAGTCTGAGAGTTTCATTTCGCTTAGAACAGCATGAAGATTTAGGAGTACACACAATATTACCACTGCTTGTATTAACTCAGAACAGTAAACCGAGCGTTACGGAGGGGCTGTGGGTGTCCGTTTGCGTCATTTTTGCTTAACCTTCTATAGACTAGTGACCAAATGAGCGGGTCCTTTCGCACTGCCGTCCGGGGAGGTTCCCTCTTTGTTCGGCGGGACTATAAAGCCGTCGCTGCTGCCTCGGCCTAGCTGGTAGTACGTGTGTAGCTGATGGACGTGGTTCCTGGAGCCGAGGTTGGGCATGCTCTTGTAGTAAACATCATCGGCATCGCCGCTTTTTGCCGGCGGGGGGTCGGTCTGGGTGCTGGCGGCAACGCTTTCTGCCACAGGCATGCCGGCCAGCGTGGGCATACTGGTGTACAGAGAATCCCTGTTGGGCGACTGGAGGTCGTCCGTGTGCTCGTTGGTCAGCAAGGGGAAAAAGCTCTCGCTGTTGTCCTGTGGGATGCGCCGCCGGCTGTAGAGGTGGGGCTGGGGGCCATCAGCCGAGTACACGCGGGGGGGCAGCAGCGGGGCGTCTGACTCCTCGTGGATGAGCTCCAGGCCCAGGCTCTCCTCGTGGGTGAAGGAGGTGGCGTCGTCCAGCACGATGGCGTCGTCCTCGCTCCCGCCGCCCACGCTGTTGACGAGTTTGTTCATCAGGTTGCGGCTCTGCTCGCTGGAGCGCTCGTGGTTGTTCAGGTAGGAGGGGATGTAGTTGGAGGTGAGTTCCTTCAGGATCTTTTTCTCGAGGGCGTTCTCGGTGTGGTTGTACCCGCGGTCGAGGATTTGCACGCAGTTGCTGAGGTACTCGCCGCTGGCGATGCTGTAGCTGTTGCCGTGATTACCATTCAGTGGTAGAGTATCCGTGACACTTGTATCCCTGGCATTGTTCAGAAGCCCCTCTGAAAAACATTACACAAGAGAGGGTGACTTGTACAAACAGGACACTCACGCAGGACGTGCACACTCACACCCTTCCTAGGCTGCCACAGGGCCGGGGGGAAGAGAGCGGCATGCCGTCTCAGCACCAGGGAGACTGCTTCATCCCAGGTGTGAGGGTACGGCTCCGCTTCGCTGGCTTAAGGCCTCGCTGCCGGCTTAGGGTCTTGCTGCTGGAAAACAGAGGGCAATAGCTAGCAGGAGGGAATAACCTCTCCCTGCCAATATTTCCTCTCGCTGTTATGCACTGCTGCTTCCAGAGGGTCTGGGATTTGCTCTGCATGTTCCCTGGGAGCTGAGCGGTACATGAGCCTTAGCTGGGCTGAAGTGTCTTGCTGTGGGGCTTTGGCAATTCACCCCAGCTGAGGAGAAGTATTTGCTGTGTAGGTTAATCATCAGCCAAACTTCACTTGGGACTGTATCCTTACTAGCTTCGGAGGGGGGAAATAAATCTGCACTTCCTATCAGAGGAAAGGCACGAGTGCTCTGCTAAAGGCAAGATTCATGATTAGCTCATGCAGCCAGCACAGGGCCACAAAGTGCTTCCTGTCCAAAGCATTTTTGGAAGAAGATGAAGTATCCTACCCCTCCTGGCCCAAGCGCACGGCCAAAATGATTTACTTGACCTTGGTCAGGTGGGAGTTTCCTAATGCAATTGGTACAGGGGACAGCTGTAACAGGGTCTTGTGCAGCCTTTAAAAATACTTTCCATCTCCCTTTCCAAGTGAAAGCAGAGATCTCAGTGGAAGGTAGAGCAAGTACTGTCACTGCCATAGTATGGCAGACATGGTGGGACACACACTTGGATTGCTGGGACACTCCTGAGCCTTTCCTGCCAACCTTCTTTGCTGCCTGGTATATTTGAACAGGCAACCCAGGGAAATTCACATGCCTGGCTTGCACAAAGAATGTATATATGCACAGACAGCTGCATAAATGAGGCCTCTGAATTTCAGCAACGAACTGTCTTGCTTGCTACTATACCACTGACTGCTGTCTCATTTTTGCTGGCCTGTCAACACAGCCAGCACAAGGCTGGGGCATGATGCCATCCTTACTCACTCTATGGGGTATGGTGGAGCAGGTAGGCAAGGGAGAAGTAACCCAGGCCACAGGCAGGTTAAGCTGCCACACACTGTTGTTGTTTTTTTTTTTGTTTTTTGTTTTTTGGATTATGGCATCCCCAGAGCAAAGACAGACACGGGAAAGCACAAAATCCCATATCGACCTTTCAGCTAAGGGCTATGGGTGTTGCAGAAAAAATCATAAGCAACTCCCAGCAAGCAGCAGTGGATTAGAGGAGCCATTAGCCGACAATTTAACAGGTGCTCTTACCATGCTTGGTACATGGCATGTGTACCTTCTGAAAATACAGGATTCGGTCTATATCTGCGATGTCGTAGTTGTGCATGACAACGGCTGGAAAGTGCTAGTGCAGGCTTTCATTCTTTCTTTTGAGTAAAATGCCCAAATGTATCTGTTGTCTTTTAGGTTTCTGAAGCTTGGAAGGTGATGCCGTATCCCGGGTTTCCAAACAAACAAGGGGGCTATGCAAAAAGTCAACTAGCCATCACAGACATAGAGCAAAGCCGCTTATTTTCATGTTGGAAGCTCTCCAAATGAGCCATGATGTTTGGGAAGAAATGGGAAGTGAGCATTTCAGGGGGAGGATCGTTTGCAATGGGTGACGGACAAGACAGCATCTGTCTGATAGCTGAGTGCTGTATGCATTGAGGCACCAAGCAATGCTTCCGCTGCCAATGCATAGAGCCAGAGGCTGTGAGGGTTCAGAGGGAATTAAATGAAGGCATCACATGTGAAAACAGAGTGGGTTCTGCAATGAAACGAGCCATATAAAAATGCCATGACCTCGCAAATCAAAAGGTGAAGTTTAAAAGAATTGCACGCACAGCTAAATGAGAAACTAGTTTGGGTAAATGATATCACAAAAACGGGAAATAAAAAAGGAAAGCGTCACCTAATCTTAACTATATATATATGTACGCATACATATATATATACACACACATACACACGCATACACAGATATATACATATGTATATTCATATGCTTTAGATTCTTTTGATTTCAAAACTGTGAGATGAATTTCCTTTATTAACTACATCATCTATATGTGATGCAATAAAAGTGAACTAAAAAAAATTACATTTGATATGCAATGTTTAGCTTTACTCCCATACTTGTCTCTCTGTAGGGCTCTAAACGACAGCATGAAGAAAAGGAAAGAAAAAACAACAAGTAAGCTTACAGCGACAGTAGGAGAAACATGAGTAAAAAGCAAATTGATGATGTGCAGAAAAGAGAGTTAACGGAAATAATTTTCACTGCCCAGAGTACATGAATTTGTTACATGGTTTATTTCAGGTTAAAAATATTGACATTTTAGACAGAAAAGTATTTTACCCGCAATATCAATGCACTACAGTTTTATTGAAAATATAATCACATTTAAAACTTTATCCAATGCCATTATAAATGTTCAGCGTGCAATACATCAAGAAATAATCCCTGGAAATGTTAAGAGAAGTCTAAAGCTGGCAATGGTCATGCTTGAAAAGACAGGCACTGTCAATGTCATTTCCAGAGTCTTAAAATGAATGGCTTTACTTACTGTTTGTTCTAATAACCCCTGGCAGTTGAAACTGAAATCCATTTCCTTGCTAAACTGTTTTGCTGTCCATCCTTTGCAACAGTGCTTTGCAAGAGTATGACTTAGCTCATCATGGGGCTGTTGGCATTTAAAAAACTTTTGCAAGGAAGTGTTTCCTTTCTGTTCTTTTTATAACCAAACACATGGAAAATTACATGGACTTTGCAAGCAAATGTGAGAGAAATAGTAGTTCGAATAATGGCATCTCTAAATGAAGCTGTTGAGAAGGAAGGGTTAAAAAAAAAGCAGAGCCAGAGATGAAGATGAAGAGCCATTGTTAAGTGTCAGCTTCTCACTTTGCATTGGTCTGTGGGACGCTGTTATTTAAGCAGAGCTTGTTACGTGATTTCCTTCTTCTCTTAAACTTATCAATCACAAAAGCAGTTAGGCCATTTTGAGACGCTTATGCATCCAAGAGACAGAGTGAGTATATATCCACCAGATGCAAAGGGTAGTGAGTGCTTCGCATGTGCCGCGGTGTGCCAGGCTCCTCACCTACTATCTCCTCCTCCTTTTACACTCTGTCCTGTGAAGGAATTGGTTTTGTCACTAGTACATGGCCTCTGGCCTTTTGGGTTCTCATTCCCAGCCTCTTTGCAATGCTTTTTAGGGCTCCCAGCCCCTGCTGAGACAGGGCAGCTTCAGCTTGAACAGAGAAGGTATTTGAAAGCACGGAACTGGAGAGGAGGAAGGGGAGACCACCCCAGACTCCACATTTATCCTCTTATAGAGTCCTGTCTCTGTCAACAGCCAACAACAGATGTGGCAGATGAAGGTGCAAGAAAATCATGTGGAATGAGTTAGTAGGGCAGTGTTAGCTAGCGTGCCTTCCCTGCACTCCAATCCTGGCCAAAGCACACTCGTAGATGGTGACAGCATCTACTTTTACAATGTGTTATCATTGCTTTAGCTAGTTTGCTGGTGCAGCGCCCTTAAAGTGCAAAGAATCCAAATGGGTTTTGCTAAGTTTCCTTTCCACTGCTGGTTCTCCTAATATACACACTTTGTAATGGAATGCTTTGTCCTAAGATAATAGCCAGTTTGAAAAGCAAAAGCTATACCACTGTCTTTGGTCATTAATTAACTTGCAGCCTCCTGAATATAATGGGTTGCATTCTGCTGCCTCTGAAGTCAACGGCAAAGCTCCAGTGGCTTAAGTGGGATCAGTAGTGGTCACACTTTCTTTAATCTCCTAAGGATGTAGGCTGGGCAACTTTCTTTGTCATCCATCTGGCTGTGTTGCACTGAATAGCATGTTCAAATCAATAACACTATTTGTGGAATAATACACTGTTAACTCAGGTAATTGTATCAGAATCCAGTCTCATAAACTAGAATAACATAAGATTATTAAAATGCATGTAAAACCTTTTGTCACATTTTCACTCAAATCACTTTTGTCCATTTGAGGCACCCAGACTTGAACCTCAGGATTTGCCTTAAGTTAGATACTGACCCAGCATTACCTGCTGCCTCTTGATTTAAAAGTCCCTCAAATCTCAATATTATCATGCAAGTAGACATACAGAATATCAAAGCTTGTTTTGACATTTGTGATACACTAAACATGTTAAAATTCAGAGCATTTCATGCTTAACAGTAGCCCCTTTCTAGAAGACATTAGTGGAAGCAAATTTATTGCACAGTGTTAGCATAGCTTAAGAAATTTATGAACAACAAAAAGGTCAAACACACGTGCTTTCTTGTGGACTGAATGAAAATACCCTAGTGATACAGTTCAATATCTATGTCTGTTATAGACAATACACTGCTATTTAGCACAATGGGGTTTTACTGCTTGCATTATAACCATCATTATTCTCCCTTCCTTACGGATCCTTTACGGGAAATGGGCTCCTTCATTGGAGGGGAGAGGTGAAAGAGTGCTAACCCCCAGAAGAGATGGTAGAGCAGGATGGAGCTGGAAAGCTCCACATCTCAGCTGCTCTTCCATCCCGGTCAAACACCTCTGCCTGGCCTGGGCAGCAGCACCAAGACAGCAGCCTACAAATACCGCCTCCCCCACAGCTGGAGCAGAGACACACACGCTGGTGACAAGAGAATGACCTCAGTGTAGGGAGCCTCAGCTGAATACCACTGACTCTACCTGCTCACTTCTTGTTGCCAGAAAAATGTGCCAAGAGCTCTGAGCTTCCCTACACCTTTTTCCATTCTTTCTTTCTTTTTACTTTGTAATAGAATATACAGAATGTATTAATGCAAATGGCAAAACATTTCCTTCAATGTTTAAACTCTGCTCTTTGGAGCTGACCTATGCTCCTTCCTTCAGC